ATAAATTTTGACACACCCTGTAATTAAACATTTAATAACTTATAATATCGAAGCCAATATCATATGAAAACACTTGGTCCTTCAACTGCAGAGATAATATAATATCTTTGTTGACAAAACGAAAAGCTCATTTTGGAGCAGGAATAAATCACAATCTGTGACAGGATACCGTTTTCCTATGTCAATTTAGAAATCAATATATTATTTATGACATCCTCGTTAAAATGTGCTATCTTTTCGTTAAAAGTGCTACCTTCCAGAAAGCCGTAGGTGTATTGTATTCCATTGCGTCAAATTTATTTTTATTACAATTTCTATACAGTGAGCATCATAAGTCTTACCCCCCTATCTAACTCGTTACTGGAGTCTTGATAGGAAAATCGCCGAGACACGTCGATTTTTAATTTCTACAATGTACATTTTTGTATGAATAGTTTACCCTTAATTTCATCCCTTACTGGAGGGGAGCAACCCTAAAATACATGGGGTGGTGAGTGATAAGCTCATTTGAAAGGGGGTTTTATTCTCTATTCAACCGTGCAAAAATTTTTGAAATTTGCTTCATTACGTGTTGATTTATTAATGTTTAAAAATAACAAAACAATGCAAAAATATCAATAAAAACGTGCAGTTAATATTCAAGCATAATGGCAAAAAGTCTTACTTCACGTCTGAACCAAAACCGATATGCAGGGCCGAATTTTAATTCTAAGGATGAGTGAGCTACGTTTATTTTCGTTATTCTGAAACAAAGATTAGTCGAGAATTAACGAAGCAAATTTCAAAAATTTTTGCACGGTTGAATAGAGAATAAACCCCCTTTCAAATGAGCTATCACTCACCACCCCATGCTATTTAAATTTTTCGAAAGGGTTGCTCCCCTCCAGTAAGGAATGAAATACATACAAAAATGTACATTGTAGAAATCAAAAATCGACAAATCTCGGCGATTTTCCTAACAAGACTCCAGTAACGGGTTAGATAGGGGGGGAGGGGGGTAAGACTTATGATGCTCACTGTATATAGGTAAACTTCCATTATGGATAATAATCTTTATTTGTCTACTGAAACGTTTTCTTCGAGATAATCAACTACTTATTATAATAGTCCTAAAAGCTAACGTGTAGATTTGTGACTTATTTTCTTATAGCTGAATTTATTAATAATATGATATGTGTCCCACAAATACACGAAATCGCGACGTTCAGACTGGGGCGCTTAGGTAGCTATCGTGATACGTCCCTCTCAAAAAATGACTTATTTTCTTAACATTTTCGTTATGCTCATTCGGCGATAAGTGTCCACCTACAAGAAATATTAAACTCTCCACCATTTTCGCTAGGCCATTTTCTCTCCAACATTTTAAAGTAGTGCGTAAGAAGGCATACGCGTGACTTATTTTCCTATTCCCTTTTTTTTATTTATTGTCAAGTTTTTGTTGTTTTTCACAAAATTCACTTTCTCCACCATTTACGCTGGGCCATTGTTTTTCTCCAAAGTTTGTAGAGGGTATCGATTTTTTTAAAGGTAGGTACTTCAAAATTGAAATTATAGCTACTCATCATAAATAAATAATGACGTATTTTAGGGTTTTTGGATTTTTACATTTTAAGGGGGAAAAAAGGAGGTGAAAGTTTGCAGAGAGTATCGATTTATTTAAAGGAATTGGAATTATAGCTTCTCATCGTAAATAAATAATGACGTATTTTAGGGTTTTAAGATTTTTACATTTTAAGAGGGGGGGGGGGGGGGATTGGTGGTGAAAGTTTGCAGAGGGTATCGATTTTTTCAAAGGTAGTAACTTGATAATGGGAATTGCAGCTAATCATCATAAATAAATAATGACGTATTTTGGGATTTTTGGATTTTTACTTTTTAAGGGAGGAAATTGGGGATAAAAGTTTATAGAGGGTATCGATTTTTTTAAAGGTAGTAACTTGAAAATTGGAATTGTAGCTACTCATCATAAATAATGACATATTTCAGGATTTTTGTATTTTTACATTTTAAAGGGGGAAACGGGGAAGGCGGTGAAAGTTTGTAGGTATGTGAGTATCGATTTTTTTTTTTTTTGTAGGAACTTGAAAATTGAGATTGAAGCTACTCATTATAAACATGTTTAAGGGTTTTGGATTATCACATTTTAAGGGGGAAGAAAAGTGGTGAAATAAAAATAAATAAAAATAAACAAAAATAAAGAAAATTGAATAAAAATAAATAATATAAATAAAAAAAAAAATAAAAATATAAATAAAAAAATAAAAATATAAATAAAAATAAATACAAATGAATAATAAAATTAATTAATAAAAAATAAGTGAAACTTCTTACGAAAAACGATATTTCTCGATGTCCCGACACCTGGGGCTCGATTCTCGAGATCATTGGAAAATTTTCCCATGAGAAAATATTCCACTACTTATATTCCCATGGTAATAGGTTATGCAATTCTCGAACGTGTCGGAATAGACATTCCCATGGAAATAGTAGTTTCACGTATGTCTGATATTAAGTTCACGAATATTTCGAAACAACCAATAACATTAAAGATATTTTAAAATTTACTGTTGGCAATATTTGTATTTGTTGTGGTTCTTGGGTATCCGATTACCAGCCGAGCATCCGCGCTGGAGCAGATGCCGTGCCGAGCAATCGCTATCATGATCGAGAATAAGTGAAAATATTCGATAACGTATAATAATTAAAACTTGTCGAGTTGTTCTTAGTTTTTCTTTTCTCATGTTGAAAAAAGAAAAGGTAGCTTTTGTATGGAAGAGCAACGAAAGTTTTGAGAAACCAAGAAATTCTTTCATTAACGAAAATAATAAAATTTTCGAAAAGGTCTTATTAAATTTACTACACTCAATTTGTGTTATTTGCCAGTCCCTTAGCAGCTCCCACAATTTCTAAATGATTTAGGAAAATCAGTTTATACAGTTTCTTAGTGAAAGAGAATTAAAAATAATATACCTACATAAATAAAATAATATCAATCTATAAATACGCCAAAAAATGTTTTAACTACAATTTCACTAAAAATCCAAGATATCCAATAATTCCAATAATCTTTGGTTATGTCTTAGACTTTCGCGTGGTCTTTCGCCAAATTTTCGACTTTAATGCGCAAACTCTAGTACAATTCCCATTGGAAAATACAATTTCCAATGCTCGTAAGCAGGGGAATATTTTCCCATACTTCTCATTGGAAAATATTCCACCGCTTATGTCGAGAATACGAAAACTGAATTCCCATGGGAAAATTTTATTTTCCCATGGGAATAAAAGTTGAGAATTGACCCCCTGACAGCCTAAGAGAGGACTGCTTTTCTCAAGGAAAGTTTTATGTGACTTGTTAGAAAGTCAGTTATGAGTGATGAGGGCTATACCAGAGAAGTGGTATAAAAAGATATTCTCAATTAGATTACTATGCTTAAATATTAGATTACTATACTTAACTCTAATCTATAATTACATATTTCAGGGTTTATTGGATTTTACCTTTTATGGGGGGAACTGGGGGTTGAAAGTTTGTATAGGGGTATCGGTTTTTTTAAAGGCAGGAACTTGATAATTGGAATTGTAGATACTCATCATAACTAAATAATTACGTATTTCGAGGTTTTTGAATTTTTACATTTTAAGGGGAAAACGGTGGTAAAATAAAAATAAATAAAATTAATTAAAAATTATAAAAAAATACGAATAAATAATAAAAATACTTAAAAACAAATTAGTGGAACTTCTTACGTCCTGGTGTGAATAATATGAAGAGGGAATTAATAAAAACGACATATCTTAATGTCCCTACACTTTGACAGCCTAAGGTAGGACTGTTTTTCTCACGGACAGTTTTATGTGACCTGTTAGAGAATTCTGCATGCAATCTGGTGATATTAGCAGATGAGAGCCATACCAGAAATGTGGTATACAAAGAGATTTTTAATTAGATTACTTACTTAAATATTAGATTAATCTACTTAACTTCAATCTATAATACTATCACATACATACCATGAACCCTAAAAAACATATCCCTTCTTTTTTGGGCAGTCATGCATTTTTTTCTATTAAAAACACTACTCCACGCGTGTGAAACTGCGGGCAACAACTTGTTAAACAAATTTTTGAAATTATTTAAACTAGTAGTTTGGACACTGTCTACTGGAGGGCAGCACTTTTAAAACTGAAAAGTGTTGTTTTTTAATTTTAATCATTTAAACCGTTTATTCAAACGTTCAGTATCCATCTTGATTTTTAAACAATACACTTTTGTTAAACTCTGTTGTAATGTAAGCTCATATATTTTTAGAACAACTATTATTTTATCATGTGACGTTTGAATTTTTAATTATTTTTAACCCGTGAAAACTTTGAAAATAAAATGTTCAGTTCGTTTCGCTTCCTTTAAAAAGATTGTAATTACGTAGTTTTATCCCTAGTGGATAAGAGAGCATGGTGAATTTTTGTTTTTTCCTATATTATATTGTTTAGTCATTTCTACGTTATTACCATTTTTTATGGTGATTACTATTCCAACATTTTTTCCAATATTCTTAGCAATTTTTTCAATTTTGTTAGTATGAATAAATAAATATTAGTGGTATTAGTGAATTAGTTTTGTTAATGTCTTAAATTAAATCATTGTTCCATCGTTTTTCAGAATGCTAACAATATAAAATTCATCAATTTTCCTTTTTTTCTCTTACTCACTAGGCGTGCCAGAAGATTAAGTGATCACGCTTCGAAACCGGTTGCAGTATTAAATACAAATCTTTGTGCGATAAAAAGGACCTTTTCTTTCTTTTTCTACCTTTAATGTTTATGTTTAAATAAAAATTGTTTTAATGAAACCTCTGATGTTAGGTGTACTACAATACTAGGTCTTGGATTCCTAATTAGTTAAATATTTATAATGATATCGCAAAATTATCTTTTAATAAATAGTTCTTCGACAATCGTTATAAGTGAAAAAGTTTTATTTAATTCCAAGGACAAATTACCTTTTCCGCGAATCCTCTGGCAACCTGCCTCTGTTTGAGATTGGTCTCCCCATCTAAATGACCGGTATCGATATAACAGAGGCCACTTGGATCACTGGATCGAAGCAACAATATGTCTGCAGGTACCACTTCGTTATTCGATAAATGTATTAAGTCGCCGACTCTCACTTCTTTCCATAACACTTTTTTGTAACGGCAGGCTTCACTGAAAACAAAAAAAAAATTAAATTAGAGAAATTTATTCGGTCAGAATTTAAAATGATGGAATCGTGTAGTTTAAAATATTTTCACTGCCCATAACACTCTTAGCGTGATACTGCTTACTTTAAACTGATTAGTATTTAGTAGGCACTGTAGATAAATACAAAATTAAGCTATTTTTATTCATTGCGGTACACTACACATATAATCTAATTCAGCTATACTCAACATGCGGCCCTCCAAGCTTTTTTTGTGGCCCACAACACTATTATTAGTCGCAGCGCTAAATAGAATGCTAATTTTTAAATAAACGTTTGGAAGGATACTGCAAAAACAAAATAGCTCCACTTTTAGAATTTTCGAGTTAAGTAGGTAGGTACACTTTTTACAAGTGTGAAAGAAGTCTATATTCATGATAAACAGATAGCCAATAAAAACTCATTATTAATACTTTAACAATATGGACAAACAGGATGGAGTGGCATTTATGCCAACAAATAATTATAAGATTGTGTTCAGTTGATAAATGTGTCTACCAAAACCAGATAATAGGCATATAACTTATTTTTGCTAAATATATTTAGTGCGATTCTTAATAGTATTCCACCAAAACTGGATAAATGCCAGAACCGAGGGGAAACCAATAAGGTCAAAACGTACCTGTATTTCGGAAATAACTTTAAAAAAAAATATGTAATTAAGTGATTTTACTGAAAATCCAACTTAATTTTATACGATGATCTTTTTTCTCGCCATTTCGGGTTGTGAGCGACGAATTTATTTCGAGCATGATATTAGATGATGATTTTGGAATTTTCGAGAAAATGTGTAGTGATTTCCGGCGAAAACGTACCAGTATTTTGGGAGTGGTTTGCCGCTACTCATTTTTGTTGAATGTGTTGGTTGAAATATTACAACATTGTGCCCACGCCATTTGTTTTGTTATGACTAGAGCCGTCTCTGGCCTTTCTCGATTGTTCCGAAATCCACGAGATGATTACGTCACCCTTTCCTTCCGCGATACAGGCACAAATGTTCAGTGAAACCATGTAGGTGAATATCTACAGGGGATGCCCACAGGATGGGATTTTTTCTCCTCTACTGTGGAACCTAGTGGCAGATGAACTGCCGAAAACACTGAACAATCAAGGGCTATACGCCTAAGAATATGCCGATGATACACCAAACCACAGTCTTCGAACTCATGCAAAGAGCTCTTAGGCTGACAGCAATATGGTGCGTTAGGGAAAACCACTTGGTAAACTCTGACAAGGCACAACTCATAACCTTTACTCGAAAAACAAAGTTGGAAGTCTTAGAAACTCTGACTGAATCCTAAATAGCAAACTTACTTGGAACCAACACTTACAAAAAGTGACCAACAAATGTAAAATGTCTCTCATGTTGGGAGAGTAGCATTTGGAAAAACATGGGGATTAAAACAGAAAATGGTTCACTGGCTATATTTGGCAATAGCAAGACCTATGATAACTTATGGAGCGGTTGTTTGGTGGCCAAAAGTAAACCAGAAACAGCCCTCAATACCCTCGCAGAAGTTCAGAAGCTGGCATGCTTTTGTATTACAGGAGCACTAATAAGTACACCGACAGCCTCCATGGAATCATTCTAAACCTCCCTTCCCTTGACCTAGTCATAAAGGGGGAGGCCAGAATGAGTACATACAGACGACATCTCCAACAACTGGAACCCACTGGGACATATAAAACATACCAGAATAACACATGAAGTAAATAATCATATATTACACATGGAGTCAGAACACATGACACCCCTCCTAACCTTCAACAGACTCTTCCAGGTCAACTGCAACTGAAACGAGGTAAATAAGGAAGTAGAGAAATACTTGCTTAGAGGTCTCGTATTTTATACGGATAGCTCTAAAACTAACAAGGGAACAGGTTCTAGCGTACATAGAGTTAAACCCAAATACGAGACCATCATCTCACTAGGAAAACATACCACTGTATTTCAGGCTGAAATACATGCAATCGAATTGTGGGTACGAGATAATTTAAGAAGGAAGTACAAAAAATAAACCATCCTAATTCTCTAAAAGGCCCTTGATTCAAACAGAACCAAGTCAAAGCTTGTTTGGAACTGCCTTGGAATACTAAATGATCTGGCAACCCACAAGATAAAACTAGCGTGGGTACCAGGGAACAAAGGTATCCAAGGAAGTGTAGAGGCAGATGATCTCGACGAAGAGGGATTAGAACTACCATTCACAGGATCCGAACCTATATTTGGGATAAGCAAAACCTCTGCTCGACAGGCAGTGAACAGGCGGATAACCACAAAACACAAAATTCACTGGCAACAGATAAGAGGGCACAGAATCAGTAAGTTCATGCTAAGGGGAACAAACCCACGCATGGCTACTGAGGCATTACAACTCGCAAGGCCTCAGATATCCACCATTGTGGGATTACTAACGGAGCACTGCTTGCTGAAACACCTTTATGTGATGGGATTACACAATGATCCTACTACGTGTAGACTCTGCATGGAAGAGAAGGAAACCTTATACCATGTGATCTTCGAATGCAAAGCTCTTACTAGGCGACGTTTCATCCTTTCCGGCCTAGAACCGGAAAGAACGCCCCAGGAACACTTGGTAGGGAACTTATTAAAACTAACCGAAGACACAGGACTATTCCAAAGAGAGTACCTGAATACGGGGAAAGCAGGGGAATACAATAGACCCAAGAGGCCGCAGTGTTCTGGGCCAAATCTAACCATATCTGCTTATAACCGACAAAGATAAAGATATGTACCCACTTAGATGAATATTTGCTATTTTTTGTTATAAAATTCTATTTTTTGTTATAAAATTCTATTTTTTGTTATAAAATTCTATTTTTTGTTATAAAATTCTATTTTTTGTTATAAAATTCTATTTTTTGTTATAAAATTCTATTTTTGTTATAAAATTCTATTTTATGTCGCAAAAGGTGCATTTATTTTCTTGCTTTTGATGATTTTATTTTGTAAACTTTGGCCGTACTTAATCAGCAAATATAATTATAAAAATATAAGACTAAAACGAAGACGCGAGGCGTATTGTGGTTGCACACAACTGCACGAATCACAGAACGGTAGATCGCACATTATTAGATATATTTTATTATAAATCATTTTTTAACCTTAATGGGTATTTTGATCTCTTTATATACTGTTAACTTTCTTCGTAAATACGTAATAGAAGTATATACCGAAAAATTCCTCGAAGCAGGTCACAGTAATAACGCCAATATCTACAATGCAAACGATTTTTAGGTCACACGAACATTTTAGCGTAATTTTTATATTTTATGAAAGTTGCATTATCAGAATTTATGCACCACATACATTACCTAACTCCATCCAAATTGTAATTACACACAAATTGCATTTCTAGCCTGTATTAAAGAAAGAATGCGATATAAATCTGAAGAGTTCAAGGACTCGGTACAACACTAACTCAATATACCTACCCGATTGTAAGAAGACTTGTTTAATCTCTTAATAGCTAATAATTGCATAATTTTATTAGACTGCTTAATTATAAGTTCATTTGATTTAGACGTATCACAGTCCATCAAGTCCTGTGAAAGTTTATCGTTAATAAACGTTGTTGCAACCGGCCGACTCTTTATTTTCTATTTTGCATGCAATTTTAATGAAACAACGTGTATATCTTGTCTCTATTAAAAATAAGTACGATATAAATCCGGAAAGTTCAAAGGATGTGTATAAATCTGTCTTTTTCTCTATCATTCCGATTATCATAAAGAATGAAGTCTAGACGTCTTTTAGGCCCATCATTCTTTATTTTTACAATATCGCTGACAATATAATAATGTGCGGAAATAGTTATTAGTTTGATAGATAAAGCTCCACATATCAGCACTATAAATAATAAATGGGAAGTTGATATAACGAATTCCAGCAAGCTAATACTTTAGCGATTAAATATATGAAAGCGATCAATAATAACAATATTAAAAAGTGTTTCTTATGATAGAAGAGGCTAAATGTATAATACGACCATGTATTATAAAAATGTTTAAATATTAATATTGTATAGATTTCTTATAAATTTATGTATTTAAGCAAATTAACAAGTTGAGTACGGTGTGGCATTTAACGGATGCCTCACTGCTTGTCTTCTTTGAGAAGGCGAGGCATCAATATGATGCCACAGTCAGAAAATTAGAAAGGACGGCGTGGTTTCGTAGTACGTCTCGATATAATGCTATAAACATAGGAGCTCGCTCTTAGCCGTCTATAGTAATAGAAAAGTTTAGCTGGCCTTCAAAATAAGAGACATATCCTGTGTTATATAAATTTATTTTATTTGTTTTAAATAATAATATTATTATTAAGCAAAATTTAAAGCCAAACGACTTGTTACAGACGAAACATGCTATAAAAAACTAATCTAAATAAATGCGTTTAATTTAACAATAACCATTATTATGATATTATTATAATTTTTCTGTTCGATGTTCTGTAAAAGAAAAACAATGAACGCAGTAACTTTTTTGCATAAAATGCAGTGCCATTTTGTTCTGGGCGTTTTGTTTTGTGCTGCAACTCTCCCATATTGCTCTTTATTTTTAGCATAACATACAACACCAATTTTTAGCATGTTCCTGTTGTAGCAATTATCCCACAGTTCAAGTAATCTCTTTTTTCTTTCTCAAAATATCCCATTAAGTTTATGTTAGCTTAAACACACAGCAACTGCCACTCTAGCACAAATGCATTGTCTCGCATGTATGTAAATCGAGAGGTCTAAACGAGCAAAAATGTGGCATCACATCAATGCCTCACCGTCCATCCTTCTGAATTTAGCCATATAGACGGCGAGGCATCAACGTTTAGTCACGAAAAAAAAATTAAATAATTGACAAATACTTTAAAAAAAAATTGTTGAAACATATAAAATTTATAAATTAAGCTTTATCAGAGTAAGACGAGTGCCAAAAAATTGCCCGTCCT